ACACGTTGCTTTCATTTCTTCGCTTCCCCCGTATCCTCTACCTTTGTCTTTAGGCTCTCCTTGCTGCTGTAGCTTTCCTCCTTGCTGATATTGCTGCTGCCACTGTCCTTGCTGTTGCTGCGACTGCTGCTGCTGCCACTCCTTACTGCTACTGTTGCTGCTGCTGCTGCAACTGTCCCTGCTGCTGCTGCTGCTGCTGTTTCTGCTGCAGAGGCACTCGGCCTATTCGCCGTATATTGATAGCAAACAACGGGATGGCCGCAACGAAGGCCATCGCCTCAATGCGCCAATGGACATTTGAAACCTTCGGCGACCCTAATGTCGGTTCTGTTACTGTTGCTGCTGCTGTTACTGTTGCTGCTGCTGCTACTGTTGCTGCTGCCGGTAAAGCTGTCGTTGGTGGCGTTGCTGTTGCTGTTGATCCGTTTTTTGCTACGTTTGTTGGCGCCGACATTGCATCTGTTGGTTTAGCTTCTTCTGCATTTGTTGCCATTGCATTCGTTGTTGCTGTATTTGTCGCTGCTGTATTTGTTGCTGCTGCACTTGCTGCTGCTGCATTTGCTGCAGCTGCTGACATTTGTTGCGATGGCATCTGCTGAGGACTTGGCAGCGAACAGCGAATTTCTGAAGAAGGCAGATGTCATCGTCCCGGTCCCCGGGGGCCCCAGCCGGGAGAACTATGGAAATGTGCAGCTCATATGTGATATCGCAGTTAAACAGAAGGTAAGCAAGGGTGACACCAGCAGCAGGAATAACAACAAGAGTAGCAGCAACAGCAGCAACAGCAGCAGCAGCTGGTGCAACGGCAACTGCCGCAAGAAATGCAGCCAGAGCACTGGAAGATGCAGATAACCGCCTCATGGGGATCTGCAGCAGCCGCAGTTGTAATAGCAGCAGCAGCTGCAGCAGCAGCGACAGCACCGTGCGGATCAGCGGCCGTCTGTTTCTGCTTCTTTTCTCCTTTTTTCTTTTTTTTTTGTTTAACTACATCTTTTGCTTTGTAGGTGCTGTCTCTGTGTGCAACTCAGGTTGACGCGGTATGGCCTGGATGGGGTCATGCCTCTGAAAATCCGTCTCTGCCTTCTTCTCTTTCTGCGTTGGGGATCTCCTTCCTCGGTCCCCAGGCGAAGGTGATGGCGGCGCTAGGAGATAAAATTGCAGCTAATATATTAGCACAGACAGCGCAGGTACCCGCTATACCCTGGAGCGGTACGGGGCTCACAGCTCAGCTCGACAAGGACGGAAATATACCAGAAGAGGTACAGTAAACAAACGCTAGGCCCTCCATTTTTTTCTCGCTTGGTGGTGTATGTATTCCTTACACTCTTAATTCTGTTCTTCTCTGTTTATGCTGGTTGTGGATGAACTGCGGGAGGCCTCTGCGTCAAACCCTAAACCCTAAACACCATTGAATTGATTTCAGGGTGGGTGAAGGGGGACAGCTGTTTCCGCAGTGTAAACAAAAGCCGATAGGGAATGCAGGATTGGCTTGTTGTTATTTCTGTTATTTCGTCTGTCTCGTTTGTTGGCATCTCTTACGTCCCCTTTTGTTTAATCTTTTGTCTCCTCTCATTAAGCTTTTCTTCCCCTTTGATTGGCTGCTTCTTTGCTCGCTGCACTATGAAGTATCTGGTGCCATTGAGCTGCCGCCTGTGCTCCGTGTTTGTCTCCGTCTTCCTCTACCATATGCTGCTGCATTTCCTGCTGGATTTCTTGCTTTTTTGCGGCATTTGCAGTTGCTGCTGCGCTTCAGTTCTCCGCTGCAGTTGCCGCTGCATTTCAGTTTGCTGCTGCGCTTGCTGCTGCATTTGCTGGTGTAGTTGCTGCATCATTTGCTGCTGCGTGTGTTGGTGGATGTGTAACTGTCTAGGTGTTCAAGGCTGCAACAATAACAACAGTAGAGGAGTGCCGTGCAGCAGCAGAAAAGGTTGGGTACCCGCTGCTGCTGAAGGCATCCGGAGGGGGTGGGGGTAAAGGTATTCGTCTCTGTCACCGCCCTGAGGAGC